AGGAAATATATCATCTTGTTAGATTCGGTTTTCATCAGTTCACGTGCAGAGCTGAACAACACATTATTCAGCGCAGAAATTTAAATGTAAGATGTACACTCAATCAACTGGGATATAAATACATGAAAAAAGTGTGTTTATGAGCTTAGATCACATCATTATTATTAAAAGAAAAAATTCTGAAGTTCAGTTTACTAACAGCCAGTGAATCTGATAATTATGGATTAATATGTAATGAATTGTAAAATATCCATCACAGTGAAAACACAAAACAGAGAAAAGCAGAAAATCTTCATAATAAAGAAGCTTGAACCAGAAATTATTCGCTATTTTAGTTTCATAGATGTCTTTTACTATACTGTGTTTATTTATTTATCAGGAACAACAGTCAGTAATTTACATAATTGTGATGGAACTTTGTCACATTGAGCCAAAAGGTTTGTTTTCATCAACAAAACAGCATAAATGCACATACAAGTGTGTACACTTTCACTCACTGTTTTTCCACTCACGGTTTTTAACACATTGTTTAACTCACTGTCTCTCGGTTGCTGTATATTTTAAGCTATTACATTTGTGGGATTTTTCTAAACACTATTTTTTAATCACTATTTCCTAGTGTTTTCTGTTACTGTGTTATTTTTTTTAGCTTGTTGGGTTTATTCATGAGATCAAAATTTGGCTTAAAATGCCATTTTTTACATTTCCAGCCAGGGTGACATTTCCACTTGTTGTTTTTCCACTCGCTGTTTACTTGCATTTTCTCTCACTGTTAGGTTAAATAGCTTAGGTTTAGAATAAGATCTTGAAGAAGAAATGTCTCGAATATTTCTTTTGAATCCATTTAATTTCGCTGGTGTTACACTTGCCCACATGAACTCTTTTTATTGTCGTTTTTATTTCAAGTTTACTGGTTTAGTTCTTTAATCCTTCCCTGCAGTCGTCCCTTCAAGTGTTCAGTTTATACTGTGAATTCTCTACTGAGGGAGCTTTAACTATGTTAAAAAGGTTACTTTTAATTCATTTTCTTGAATCATCACATAGAATTTCCTCAGTATACGATGTGACAGGTGTTTTTTTCCCCTATTTTCTAATGTTTTATTGATCAACAGGAGAAAAGAATTAGCAATTAACGTGTGATAAAATAATCTTTATGATAACTTGCAGACTGTGATGTAGTTTCTTCGTCCCTGCTGACTGGTGGAAGGCTTGGCTTGGTCCTGAACTCCTCGGCTTAGCTTCACCGGGTTTAACTCTGACCTACATGCAGCGTCGCCCTCGACACCAGCCGCTTCATTATCCACTAAACGCTGATATGTGGGTCACTCAGGGCAGCGAGCCTTTTAAAGCCTCGGCAGAAAGAAGAAGAAACTTGTTTCAGGAATTTAATATTTTATCTAAAACAGAAATCAGGGTTGCATTTTTATTTATTTATTTATTTTTTTAGAAATTCAAACACATTCTTAAGGGTTTTTAATCCTCCCTAAACCTTCATGTCACATGCTTTAGCTATTATCTGCTGACAGAGTGTCACACTCATTAAAAAGGACCCTTGAAACTTTAAAGGGTTTAGAAAAATATCTTAGTAACCCTCATATTTAGAGACAGACTGGGCACAAAACTCAAACAAAAGTAATAAACGGTTGATTCGTCTGATAATGCTGTACAAAAAAATTGTATTAAAGTCTGTATTATTTCACTGCAATGTGAATACTTTGTCTTTATCTCACATATCTGCATCAGTTAGCATATATATATATACACACATACATACATAAATATATATCAAAGTTTAGGGATTTAATCTCAACAGGCAAACAGAATCAGATCTTTATCAGCATGTGTTTTCCTGTTGTAGAGAAAAAACAGTGAAAATAACTTTGCACAAATTAGACAGATAGGCCAATAAATATTTTTCACAGAGTGCTGAAGCTGATAAAGACTTATAATTGTTTATTTTGTAGTAAAGCACGCAATGAGTTACTTTAAATTGGTCCCCACTGTGACCGGAAAATATCCTTTTTAATTCCTCAGCCCCCGCACTCTGTGAAGCTACATCCACACTAATCTGTTGTAAAACGACGGCTGTGTAGTTTGTAGAAAAACACTTTGCAGGAAGAACAGTGCCTAAGATGAGATTTCCTTAAATGCACAGCAGCTGCTGGCAGAAACATCAAGGTCAACAATGCCTGCGATTTGTTATCCACATTAAGTAGGATATAAAAATAAGCCTCAAACGTTGTTAAATTTCAGCATGAAGATAACATGGAAGCAGGTTGTAACATACACATATAATGACAACATCTAGACCTCTATGAACACTAGTTTTTGGCTCCTACCAATGAGTCCATGTCAACATTTTGTCAAAATAGCTAAGAACATGAACCTTGTCTTGCCATTTTTGTAGCACATCAAATTCTCCACATGTTAGAGCCTCAAAAGTTGGTGAAATGTTTACCAAAGACTGTGTTTTTAGTAGAACATATGGATGCATCCATTTAAATACACCTACAAGAACTTTCTGGAGCCACAACACCATCATTGTTTAAAGATTTTGCTCTTTTTTCCCCATTTTCAAGGTGCAAATATTATTCATTATTGTTATTTTGGGCACATTTTAGTAATTATTAGCAAGTTTCAAGTCAAAATAGCAAAAAAACCCAACCCCAAAACATGGAACCTTGTCTTACTATACTTGCTACATATCAAATTGTGCTGATATTAGAGGCCTCAAAGGTTGGTGAAATATTAACTAAAGACTGTATTTTTGGTTGGAAATATGAATGCATCCCTTTATATATACTTTCAGGAACATTCTGGGGTCACAGTACCACTCTCATTTGTAGATGTTGCACTTTCATCACTTTTCTAGGGCCAATAATTACAAGTTATTCTCTGCTGGAGACATTTAGTTATTTGGATATGCTGGAAACTATTTTGTCTAACTTCGCACCAAATTTCATGTCTGCGAGCATTATATTTCTGGAGGTATTGAACCCTTAAAACGTGTGAAAATCTCGAAATTCATCCAAAATATTTTACAGAACTTAGTTTTGGGTCCAAAAGAGCAAGACGGTAGAGTAACGCTGTGATCTGAAATGACACAAACTGACCCAATGTGCAAAAATGACTCCTATATCTAAAAATATCAGTGTACCTTTCTGTTACATACCCATTTCATGTACATGTAGTTGTTATTCCTGCTCATTTAACACCTCAGTGACTGGAACGTGTTCTGCTAAATCACCTCCAGGGTGTGTCATGGCTGTTTGGGATTTATCAGAAATTTCTCAGAAATTATATCTAACATCGCTAGCTGTTGCAACATCAGAATCACCTCAACACATCACTGCTCTTCTTTTTTTCCCCTCAAACCTGAGCCCAGACTTGCCGCAGGTATAAACTCAGCTTCAGCGTCACGTGTGACCTGCTGCCTGAATAGCAAACCTCCTGCTTTACATATGAATCGACATGCACACTGCACACATGCAGTCCTGCAGGGATTTTTGCATCTTTCTGCTGCCGCTGTGCAGGTTTTTGAGCGGTTAAATTATCAGTGCAGCTCTGTGAAGGTAAGTGTGTGTCCTCTGCAGGTCTCTGAGGATGAGTTTTCTTACCAGAGCTCGGCATTGAGGTGACACTGCTCTTGTTTCCTGTTTGAACAGCACATGGAGGAGGGACATTCTTCAGTGCTGATGACTATTTAGAAACTTCCAGCTCAAAAGGCCTGAGACCATCAAGATTTAACCTCTGAAACTCCACTGATGGTCCAGCAAAGTCTGGTTGAGCTGCTGGGCCTCATTCAAACACATAACTTTGATTTATTTCTAGCAAGTGTCTTAATTATACCAAAGTTTAAGTTTGCATCCTGAGAAAATGCACCTGACGCGATGCCCAGAAAGTTTGAGAAAATTTCAGTTTGATGTCGAGGTGTTGCTGTAAATCAAAATATAATAAAAAAGAATCTCCAACTATTTGATAACCAGGTATTAGATTTGAGCAATTCTTTAAGAAAAAGTCTAAATTCTGACATTGCAACTTTTTAATTGTGAATGTGTTTCTTTCCTTTTCTATGACAGTAAACTGATTTATATTTGAACAAAACAAGACATTTCAGAAACGCTGATTGACATTTTTCCAATAGTATTCCAGAAAATATTTTGCAAGTGTAACTTATATACATGTTTTAATCACACAAAGCAACCAAACACACAAGATTTGTTGTAAATAATTTTCTATACAGTTTAAACACTATCAGTGTTTTTCTCTCCTAATTTTAACAGCTGTTTTTATTATTGATCTAAAATTCTTTCTTGAATAATTGATGAACTGCACTGCCAAAGAAATGAGAAATAAAACAAGCCCTCATCAAATTCAGATGTCTTGTTTAGTGTGACCAACAGTTCAAGATTTGTTACAAATGTAAAAGGCAAAAAAATCTGTAAATATTCATATTGCAGCACTAAATATTATCAGCTGATTAATGGCTTGCTTTATAAAATGTCAGGAAAAAAAATTTAATTACTCATCTGCAGAGGTCTCCAGTGTGTAGTTTAATGTCTTTAGAGGACAAATCTGATCTGATTTGAGGATCTGAAGTAAGTTTTGGGGATGAAATATTAATAAATTTACAATTATTAGTGCGGAACTCATCCATTACGGAATTTATATTATGAAAAAAGTTTCTTGAAAGACTTTTAATGTCTCAGTGGAACTAAAATTCTCCAGCTAAACTCTGATAGTCAGTCATATTCAAGACTCTGTCATGTGTCTGTAGTTTCAGTTCATTTTCTCCTGAATACAAAGAAACAACGAACTGAGACTGTCGTCGCCATTTGTTCAATAGACAGAAAGAGCATAGACTGTAACTGATGAGGAAAAACCTGAACGCCGACACTCTAAACTGTCTGCAGTTTCAGTTTCCATCGTTCGTAAGGGAAACCACAGCCTGCTGCTTGTTTGCTGTTCAGTGAAGCCTGATTGGTCTTTATCTGACGCTCGACTTCCTCCCAGGAAGACAGTCACCAGCCTCTTGAGAAACATCGAGGCAGCAGCTCGACCCACTGTCACCATGAGGACGAGCTTGACCGTCCAACGCTGATCAGAATCTCCTGTCGGGTTGGCATGTTCGTGCCGGAGCACAGCTGTCGGCGAACCAGCTGTGGAGGCTTCATCTGCTTGCTGCCTGGAGGAAGCCTGTGTGAGCTGAACCATGAGTGGAGGTGGAGCCTCCCCTGAGGGCCTCGAGTGTCCGGTCCAAGGGCCCCATCAGGCCTGGCACCATTACAAAAAGCCCTGGCGGAGATCCGACCCCCAGCCGGCTCCTGAGCAGCCACTGGACCGATACAAGTGGAGAACATCTGGTCGGTGGTCGCTGAACAAAGAGCAAATCACAGCGCCTCCTCACCTGCGGCTGCTCAGCTTACCGAGGTTGAACACCTTCCCGAACCCGAGTGGAGATCAGGCCCACGATGACCAGGCGAGGTCCGGTTCTCTTCGCAGGATCCTCCCATTCCTCCGGTCCCTGTCTGAGCCCGGAGATACCAACAGCCCCAAGATACCAGCAACCCCCGAGACGATGACAAGGAGGGCGAGATTGGAGCAAACAGCGCCGTCCATCAGCAGTTTCTTCAGCTCGCTGCATCGGAGGATCAGCAGAGTCCTCGAAGGTGAAGCCGAAACCAACAGAGGAGAATCTGGTAGGAGATGGTAACTCAGTGGAGAAATAATGTAGAGAGTAGTTAGTATGTTAACACTTCAAAACTAACCAGGCTAAAAACTGCGGCGAATATTCAAATCTCAAAATTAATATCTGGATAGCACTACAGCAACCAAATATTTGGATATTCAGGTCCAGCCCTGAAAAATTGTTGTAAACCAGTCATCAACCAGGCCTAAAACAGCCTAACACAAGTGCAAAGTCAGCTCCAAATCAATTTTTCTAAAAAGTCTAAAATCCCTTTAAAATCTGTTGTAAAGTAAGTCCAAAGCAAAATTCAAAAATGGAAAAAAAAAGTCTGAAAATAGTCTTAATTCAGTCTAAAAACTGTTGTAAGCCAAGTCCAAACCAAGTTTAACCTCAGGTCTGAAACCAGTTAAAAACAGTCATAAACCAAGTCTAAATCCAGTCTAAAGTCAAGTCTGAAACTAGTTTTATACACAATCTAAACACATTTGGGAACTGGGCCTAGTCTAAAATAAGGTCAAAGTCAAGTCTGAAACCTATTTTGAAACATACCTGAACTAGTTGTTTAGCCATTAAACAGACTGAAGTGGAGAACATCTGGTCACTTGCTGCAGTTTATCTGCTTCATATCGACTTTATTTCATTCAATATATCAGTAATGTCATTTGTGCGACACTCGAATCAGCTTCTTCCAGTTTGAACAGAAGCTTGACACAGATGTGACACAGGTTGCTGCAGTCACTTTACCTTCACTTTTATTTCTTGCAGCTGTTCTGTCAGCATTTGTCCTCGTGGTTCGTGTTTGAGGAATCATTTGTGTTTTAATCTCTTCTGTGGTTCCGCTCAGTATTATTCTGCCATGAAAACATGTTTCCTGAGGAAAACCTTGACTGTCCTTGGTCTTCTTCATCCTCTTCCTCCTCTTCTTTCTCCTGCTGCTGATTGAAGGCTGGAAATCAAGCCTGCAGCTGCTTCACTAAACATTTACATTCATGCAGTAACGCTAAGCCAAGCAGCCGGCTTGAAGGTTAAGTTATGCTAATTGCATTTTCCACTCGAACATCACATGATCTGCAGACGAAATATTAAGAGTGAGGAGATAATAAATGTTTTTTTTTAAGCAGAGCTCACTGCTGTCATTTACTTAAAGTGCCTCTTCTGAATTGTCATGTTTATCTTATTTAATTCTACATATGTGACTGTTTATTGATTATTTTTAAACATCAGTGTTTCGTCCTGTGAGACGACACAAAGCTAGATTTTTTTATATCAATACTGCAAACCTTAGAGGAAAGCAGAAAATGTCACAGCAACATTCATGATCAAAATTCACCAATAATTCACCTGTTTCTGTTGAAATATAATGGTAAAAAAGCAAGTACTTAGAGTAATTACTATATTTTGGTTTTACCTCGTCTTCAAACATTCATAGACTGGCCTTTAACCATTTAAGAATTGGTCCAGATTTAAGTCTGAAATCAGTTTAATGTTGAAAAACAGCCACAAACGAGTTATGAATTAAGTTGGACATAAATCTGAAATGGGCCTGCAAGGTGGCGCGGTGGTTAGCACCATTACCTCGCTGCAAGAAGGTCTCCCCGTGCAGCGTGGGTTCTCTCCAGGTTCTCCTGCTTCCTCCCACAAGGTCCAAAAACATGTTGGGGTTAATTGTTGATTCTAAGTTGTCTGTAGGGGTGAATGTGAGTGTGCTTGGTTGTCTGTCTCTAAGTGTAGCCCTGTGATAGACTGACAACCTGTCCAGGGTGTCCCATGCCTTCGCCCTAAGTCAGCTGGGATAGGCTCCAGCCCCCCCGATCCAAGTGAGGATTAAGCGATGTATAGATAATGGATGGATGGATTAATTTGAAATGAATCCAAATTCAAGTCTGAAACCAGTTTAATAACATTTAGAAACCAAATCGGAAACCGTTACAAAGTCAAGTTTGATACAATTTTTAAAAAATGTCAGAAACTAATTGTGAAACCAATTAAATATGATCTAGAAACAGTCATAAACAAGGCCTAAACCAGTGTGAAATAAGTCCAAAACCGGTTCAAAATCAAGTCTAAAATCAGGTGTGAAACTGGTTTAATTTCCCAAAAAAGTAATAAACCAGTCATAAACCCATTAAGACACAGGTCATACACCAAAGCTGAAGCCAGTTTGGAACCAGTCCAAAATCAAGTAGAAAACTGGTTTAAAAATGGTCCAAAACTTGTCTGAAACCAAATTCTATATGAAATCAAGTCTGGAACAGTTTTTCAAACAATCTAAAAACAGCCAAAAACCAGTTTGAGAAGTGTCAAAAAACACCTGTATACCAGTCCTTAACTAAGTCAAATGCAAGGTTGAATCCAGGTCCAAAACCAATTAATAATTGTGAAAGTAGGCTGAAACCAGTTTGAAAACGGTCCTAAACCATGCCCGAAACGAGGCTAAAACCATCAAGATTTTTTTGGGGGTTTTTACAGTAGTCTGAAACCAGTCTGAAACCAAATGTCTTTTACCCCTTTTTTCCCCATTCATCTTCAACAAGAAAGACGCTTTTCTCAATAAATATACAACCAAAAAAAATTGCTGACCAGACTATTGATCTTTATTGATACATACAGAATGTATTAATATTTTATTGAGTTAATAAATTCTTTTTATGTAATTCAAATTGTGACATTTTTGCAGTATTTGCTTAATTGTAGGAGAGGAACAAAAAGCCAGTAATGATTGTAAGGATGACAAAAAGTACAGAAAATACACATAAAAAGAACAAAAATACATACACAAAATGCATAGACCACACATTTTAAATAACATTAAACTGATTACAATTGTTGGTTCTCGAAACGGAATCCACACCATAACATTCGCTCCCTTATTGATATTAATGAATGTATTAGTTATCTTTTTTAATAACAGTTTGTGATTCTGTAGCATCCATAGTAAAATTTAGAAATCTATTAATGAATGTATTATATTTCTCCTTCTGACTGCTTTAATTGATCGGTGATTGAAAGAAGAAGCTGCCTGACTGTATCAAATAAATATCATATTAAATGTGCATCATCCTCAGACTGCCTCCTCCGTCTGTGTCATAGATATCAATGTTTCTGTAGTCGTCCATCTTCCTGAAGATGAGCCATGTTATCTGTCGCCTCCCAGCAGCCGCGATCACCGGAGCATTCAGCCTCGTCGTAAATTTAAAAGCAGTGACGGCGATCAAGAATGTAGAAACAGATTTAATTTAATCTCTCTGGACCAGCAGTTTATGGGAAATGCTGTCATGTGAGAGGAGGGTCAGAGCTGGGACATCAGAGTTATCACATGATGCTGCTGCAGGTTCCTGGTTTCACTAGAAAACCTGATGAAGCCTCATTTTAACTCCGTATGAAACATTTCTACATAAAAGAATGGCTGCAGCTTGCAATTAATTGAAGTTTTGGTCAGCTTGTCTTCAGGGTTTTATGTAAATACATGTAAACATGAATGGACGAGAGAAAAAAAAGCAGAATTACAGAAAATTCACCATATAAATTCACTCCATATAATTCATTCATTAAAAACCTTCCTAAACTAAATCTGAAATGAGTCCAAAATCAAGACTGAAACCATTTAAACATTTTTTTTAAAACTCTGAAACCAGTCTGAAACCATTCTGAATTCACACTCAAGTTCAAAATCAAGTCTGAGACCAGTTTGTAAATGTCTAAAAGCAGCTCTAAACCAGTAGTAAACCAAGTTTGACACCAATCTAACATGAAGTCTGAAAGCAGTCTGACATCAGTCTAAAAACAGTCATAAAGCAGCCTTAAATTAAGTCTAAAACCAGCGTAAAATAATTAAAAATAATAATGATGTCCCAAATCAAGTCTGAAACTGGTTTAAAAACAGCCTAAAAACAATCATAAACTGGGCCTAAACCAGCCTAAAAAGAAGTTCACAGTCAAACTAGAAATAAAATCTAAAGCCACTTCTAAAAAGTTCTAAAAATATAAACCAGGTCTGATCAATCAAGTTTAAAACCAGTTTAAAAACATCTGTGAACAGAGCTGCAGGAACCAGGTTTGGATAATATCTTTCACTTTATGTGAAACATTTCTAAAAAAAAATAAGTGTAGCCTAAAATTATTTGAAGTTTTTATCAGTTTATTTTCAGGTTTTTACATTTACATGTATGCTTATGAACAAGTAAATAAGCAGGTGACTCATATTATTTACCTTTGTGTTACTGCTAATCTTGCTCTCAATTTAGAACTTCAGCTCCCATAATGCTTCAAGAGGGTGTTCTGAATTATCTGTTAGTAGTTCCTGTGTGTGGTTTACCCACAGACTTACAGACAGCTCTTAGTGGATTACCTAGATACTGAAGAAAACTTTAAAAAATGAAAACTTTCAGGCAACTTCAGTTTTTATGGGATTTCTAAGCAACTTTATGGTTGTTTTTAGCATATAACTAATAAGAAATTAAGATTAAGTGTGATGATTTGCTAAAACAAATGGACATAAAGCATTTTTTAAAAAGTAGTAGATGTACAGTACCAGGTCTTCAAGTGTTTTGGTTCTGCAGTGACTCAGCGGTAAAGTGACGATTCAGTTCAGCTACACAGTAAACAGTTTGTGCGAAATGTGTGTGAACAGAAAGTGCAGCAAACAGAGCAGCAGTATGAAAGTTTCCAGCCGGCTCAGAGCGTGCTACGTAATAAAAACCACAGAGCTCTCACTTCTCTACACGCATACCTAAACAGACACACACTTTAACACACACCCTCCTGCTGTCACACTCTTAGATTCCATGTGAAAAGGAACAGCTACTGCTAACTGGAGGCTAATTAACGCCAGTTTGTGTTGTTGGCTGATACGTACACGACGTGTGTGCTGTAGTTCTGGCTAATAGCGTACATGTTACTCAGGTGTGTGTGTGTGTGTGTGTGTGTGTGCGTGTGTGCGTGCGTGCGTGCGCCTGCCTGCCTGCCTGCCTCCCTGTCTGTCTGTCTGTCTCTCTGTCTGTCTGTCTATTT